GTACTAAGGTGTCGTAGATGCCTGTGACAGCCATTCCCCAGCATCAGTGTACTTCACTGTCTCACTTAAGAAATGAGACTCCCATTAGTCTCTGATTAGTTACAGTACAAATAAAGAACAGAAGGAAGAGTCACTCAGATCTAGGCCTGGGAAGCTGGAGGGCCGACTCAGTGATCAGGAGCTTGCTCTTGCAGAGGACCCAAGTTGCCTCCCAGCAAACATGACAGTTCACAGCCACCTGCAATTCCAGTTCCTGGGAATCTAGTGCTCTCTTCTGGCCTCTGTAGACACTAGACACATTCACACACAGAAAAATAAAAATAAATCAGTCTTTAAAAGCAATCCTTGCTTGGGTAGACTAAGAGCTGACTGAACTGGCATGCGAGGCACATCTTGAAATGACCTCTCTCCTCTTTAGACCCGCCTTGCCCAGATCTGCAGCAGCATACGGACCGGCAAATGAGAAGATGCAAGAGCAGCCCAGGTGGCAGCAGGGACTGTGGTGGCAGAACATGCACATCTGTCCTCGTCTCCTCATCCTGTGGGGTCCTGGATGTCGGGTTTCACCTGCTGGCCATGAGTGGTGCTTTCTGTCTGTCTCTGTTTATCAAAGGCCGTATGTTGGTTTGACAGCTCCGTGTCTTCTGCACACCTCTACTTGGATAGGGAACACAAGCCTAGTTGAAGGCTTTGTGTACCTGGTGCAGTGGCTGAGCCGTCTGTGGTTCATGGTCCCACTAAGTCTGTAGACTGCTTGGAGCATTGTCCTGGAGCGCTTACCAGAGGGCCTGTGTGACTTGTGCCCAGGGCGGGGCAGACCATGCATAGCAGCGGGCGTGCTCCCTGCGAGTGCAGGTGCATCTCTCTCTCTTTCTCTGTTAGTCTGTTGCTATTTCAGCCCTCTATAGACGGAGGTGTTTCAAGTTTTCTTTTCTACTGCTGGGGCTCTCATACATGTTGTTTCTGAGCAGTGGCATTTCAGCTGATTTGTCCTACTGAGAAATCGCTGTTTTCAATAAATGTTGGTTTGCTTTGTTTTTTAAATCAGTCCTCAGCCTGCCTGTTGTCTCCAGCTGTGCCGCACTCACTCGGGTGGTTTGGGAGCTGCGGCTCCTGGAGTGGGCATCCCTGGACAACTGCCTTCTCAGGAGTGTGGAAAGAAACCTTTCCTATGGGCATAAGCTCTGACCTCCAAAAGGGACCCCAAGATCCAGGGCTGTGGTAGCTCAAGCCAGCTGTGTTCCCCTCTGTGTCTCAGGAGCTAAGGAGGATGAGCTGAAAGGCAGCACAGTAAACCAGTGTGGGACTGGGCCAAGAGGAAGAGGGCACCCACTGTCATTCTTCTTGCTTACTCCATAGACCTGGGGCTCAGGCAGGGTCTGCCTTCCTCCAGCTCTCCACAGTGATGCTGCATGGAATGCTGGTGGCAGAGGACTCTGGGAAAGAACTGGAGTCATCGCTGGACTTGCTGTGTGTGCACTTTATAAGAGAAGCCACCTCTGGTCAGTGGTAGAATTTGGAAGAGAGAAGTAACAGCCTAGATTAACCACACCTGAGGCTTCCAGCTGTCCCTTCCGTCTCTCAGTGTTGAGCCTACCCTCGGGATTGAGTGGAATTCCACAGAGTACACAGGTGTTTCAGCCACATTAGTCCTTCCTCCTAAGAAAGACAAGTTTTCCCCCATCTCAGTGTTTCAAAAAAACGGGCTGGATGATGTGAAACAAATTGCATCCTCAGTGTTTGGGTTAGTTTAGCAGTAATTTTTGCTTTTCTGATTTTATTTTTATGTATATGAGTGCTTTGCCTGTGTTATATGTCTGTGCACCACATGTGTGCAGTGCCCTCAGATCCCATGGACCGGAATTGCAGGCAGTTGTGAGCCACTGTGTGGGTGCTGGAAATTGAACCCTGGTCCTTTGGGAGAGCAACCAGGGCTCTTAATTGCTAAGTCATCTCTCCAGTCCCCTGAATGACATATTTTTAAAAACAAGAAGATACCACAAAGACTGCTAGCCTCCAGAAATAAGGAGACCAGTTGATCAGAGGTGAGACATGGCTTTCTAGTTGAAAGCAGCCCAGAGGTGACATTTTCCCCTCACCTACTTCATCCCTCTGGATAGTTTGTGCCAGAGCTGCTCAGGGTGAAAGGGCAGATGCCCTGTGGTGTCCTCCCTCAAGACCCCAGAGCACTAATAAAGGGAAGGTTCCTCTGACTCCTCTAAGGAGTCCATTGCTGGACAGATCTGCATGTCTTTCCTTGAGACTAGGTCACCCTGTGAGGTAGTTCATCAGTGAGAGAGGGCGTCAAAGCATTGTTCTTTGAAAACCAGAAGCAAAATGTTCTCTCAAGGTAATTAAAGGCCCATCTCCAATAAGTAGGGAATCCTATTCCACACAGGGCTCCCAGCTTTAGGGTGTTCCCAGGATCCTTGAAAAGCAAAGCAAATTTCTGTCACAGTGTCCACCTTCTAAATCTGCCCACCTTTTTACACACTGTGATGGTTGTTCACCTAAAAGTCAGTGTAGCACACACTCAAGGAATATAAGTAAGTAAAACAATTTACTAGGTGTGGTGGTACCTGTCTATAATTCCAGAATGTGAGGGTTGAAGGCAGGGGGATCAACCCCTGCACTATCTTATCAAATGTGTGCAGCCCACCCTCAATGCCTACAATTTCTTATGTGACATAATGCCAAGAGCCATCAGAATGGAGGCGTAGACTCACTATGGACATCAGAATGGAGGCATAGACTCACTATGGACACACCCCAAATGGACAGCAAATTATGGAGTACAAGACCCACCTGGGGGTTGGGGAGGATATTCATAATTAAGGAGCAAGCTTGGTCTGGGTTCTTTTTTTTTTTTTAAGATTTATTTATTCTATGTGCATTGGTGTTTGCCTGCATGTGTGTCTGTGTGAGGGTGTTGGATTCCCTGGAGCTGGACTTATAGACAGTTGTGAGCCACCATGTGGGTGCTGGGAATCGAACCAGCCAGTGCTCTTAACCACTGAGCCATCTCTCCAGCTCCTTTTTGTCAGATTTTTTTTTTTTAAAGATTTATTATGTACACAGTGTTCAGCCTCCATGTATGCCTGAAGAGGGCACCAGATCTCATTACAGATGGTTGTGAGCCACCATGTGGTTGCTGGGAATTGAACTCAGGACCTCTGGAAGAGCAGCCAGTGCTCTTAACCTCTGAGCCATCTCTCTAGCCCCTGGAACTAGCTCTTGTAGACTAGGCTGGCCTCCAACTCACAGAGATCCTCCTGGCTTTGCCTCCCAAGTGCTGGGATTAAGGGCGTGTGCCACCACCACCCAGCTAGGTTTCTCTTAAATAAAGCTGTTGGTCGAAATATTTCCCCTGCCCACACTTAACACGCTGTAGGCATCTTGAGTTCATCCGTGACCCCAAACGGTTTCTGATTTCTCTCTGTCGCCTCATGCACTTCAGCTTAACTGGCAAAGGAGTATGCACTGGTAGGCAGTACAGCGGGGGTGAGGTCAGGAGGGTGATGCAGCCTGCAGAAATGCAAAGGTCAGCCCCTGCTTAACAAAGGTGGTAAACTCGGTTTCCCCTGGGAAGACCCCCCCCCCGGGGGTGCAGAAACTAGGCAACACAGCCTCCTGAATCCACAGTGCCTAAAATCATGCCTCATTCTTTTTATAATTGACTGTGCAGTAAGCAATTAGATCTTAGCTTCCAGTGCTGGCCACTAGTAGGTGTCTTATGTCTGGTACACACTGACTGAATCAGATCAGGCTCACTGTCCAGAGAGGACCATTTCAACTCCCAGCCATATGCTGCATCTTCCTGGGGTCTCACCCTGCTAGTGATCACCCTCCCTATACTGCAGGAGCACTTCGCTGCAATCTAAGATCATTCAGCTCCACTCCCCTATCCATCCTTCTCGTGACTTCTGCATCCCTAAAATTAAGGTCATTGTTGGGAGTTGTGTGATTCTCCCTCAAACTCCTGTGTGGAAATCCTAACCCCAATAACTGAACATGATTGTATTTGTAGATGGCATTTTTGAAGAAACAATTAAGTTTAAATGAGGCTGTTGGGCTGGGCTGGTATGGACCAGATGCAGAGAAACAGAAGATGGCCATGGTTAAACCCAGGGATGCTCCCCTCAGCCTGCAGAAGGAAGCAATACCTTGACCATGGCCTTCCAGCCCGGAGTTGTATGATGGATGATAAGCATGAGGTATGTACAACACCCAGTGTGTAGCACCTTGCTATAGTGGCCTGGAAGCAGCATGTCACCAATGTCGTCATCCTGCAGGTACCATCGAAACTCACACTTCCTATGTGAAACTCACACTTTGGCCTCTCCTTCCTATGATGAGATTTTTTAAATAATCATTTTTTTAAATGTGCATTGGTGTTTTGCCTGCATGGATGTCTGTATGAGAGTCTAAAGACAGTTGTGGGCTGCCTGTGGGTGCTGGGGATTGAACCTGAGTCTTCTGGAAGAGCGGCCAGTGTTAGTGCTCTTAACCACTGAGCCATCTTTCTGCTTCTTGCCCCTCCATCCCAGCTGCCCTGTCATGCTGGAGCTTCCCTAGTACTCCCCTCTATTCTCTATGCTCCTGTGCTGACCTCCCTCCCATGACCCCAGAGGTCAGTCTCTAGCTCACATCTCTGCTCCAAGGTCCAGATCTAGATAGCTACCCATGTCCTAAGCAGGCTTCAAGCATCGCACATCCCAAATCCACCTGGTCATTTCCCATCCCTGGCTCCACGTCTGCCCAGGCACCACTTCCTCCAGCACATATAACTTCCTTGCTTGACTGGTTTAATGAAGCAGCCTCATGACACCCAGTGTGTCCCATGTGCCCCTGACCCTTGTCCAGGCCCATTTCCTGTGTCTCCACTAGACTGTGGTATTCTTCATAGCAGAGGGATCTCAGATGCATGCATCGCCAGGGCCTGTGTGCTAGCAGAATTTCTACCCACAACTGCCCAGTGTTTTAACAATGCCACACAAAAGGACAGTAACACAGACAGGCTTTTATTACTTTGTACTGCATATAGAACCCAAGAAATATAAAAACATCTCCGGAGTTCCTCAAAGGAGCCTCCACCCACAAGCAGCCCCTCCATCCCTGGGTGGGTGCAGACAGGGCAATATGGGTTCCAGGCCACCTCTCTCCATCCAGCGAACAAGTTCCATGTATAAAAATAGATCCGTGGAGAGTCCCTGGCAACCCAGCACCCTGTGTCATGCTGGTGCCTGTGCAGGCCTGAGGCCTCGGACCCCTCAGGATTCTAGGACCTCACTCCTCATTAGAGGGGAGGTCTACCCTGGACACCGAAGTCCTGCCAACATAGCCAGGGAACCCTCTGCAGACAACTGGGGAGGGAAGGAGTTTGACCCTGACAGTGACTGATGTGGCTGAGATAGGAGTGAGGTTCTGATCACCCAAGACAGGGTACTGGTCCCATGAGCCCTGGATGATGGGCCAGTTTTCCCTGGAGGGAGAATGAAGGAAGATGAAGGAAGAGCCTCAGGGGGGAGTCTCAGTTTCCCCAGTTCTGTCAATGGTGGGCGCAGTATCCCAGTCTATTCCAGCATTCCTGCAGTCACTGAGTTCAGCTGCCCAGCAAAGAGCCAGCAATGGGGCAGGCTCTGATGAGGGAGGAGCTGCTGCTGGCAGGGCAAGGCCAAAGGCACTGCTGAGTCTGCCCCTCATGATGGGGTGCTCCCCAAAGATGCTGTGGCTTTCAGCCCCCACACCCTCTGTTAGAGATCCCTGTTTGGTTTCTGAACCTGCTGATAACTCCGCGCTAGGGAGAGAAAGTTCTACCCCTCAAGGCTTTATTCAATTCTGGCTTTAGCTAAGAAGCCCTCTGGACATCCCTCAACACATACATGTCAACGGTCCACTTGCCCATTCTCCCTGTCCCCCAGGGGAAGTCCCCTCCTGCATCTCCACTCCCCACTGCTCTGTCCTAGCCCATGCCACTGCTCCTCCCTGCCACTGTAAAAACAGAGCAGGGGGTCATCCGGAGTGATATAGAAAACCTTGGCCCTAGCAGTCCTGTCCACACCCAGCAGTCTTCCCGCCCTCCCAGGATGGCTGGGTGTCAAACTCTCCCAGCTACCAGGGCCCTTGCAGATTGGTCAGCTCAGCACCACACTCCTTTCGGGGCTCTGTGCAACACACAGGAAGGCAGGCACTGTACCGAGGAAGCATGGCATGCAGGGCAGAGCAGCCTGGAGGAGCTCACTCAGTGAGGGTTCCCTGGGCTGCCCAGGGAAGAGTGCTGGTGCCATGGGGAACGGCAACCAACCTTCTCCAGAGCCAACCTTCTCCCTGGATTTTGGTCTGGCATCAACCCTGGCTCTGAAATTACAGGCTCTGACTTTCCCATCTACACTGTGGGGCTGGACCTGTCTGTTCAAACCACTCCCTCCTCAGTCTCTTCCTCCTTCTCTCTACCCTCCAGAATGCAGAGCGACCCCACCCCAACTCTGTGCTCTTCTGAATCAGTTCCAAAAGAAATGAGACAGCCAGGCCCAGGGGAGCATCAGGACCTGTATAATCTACTAGGAGCCCGGCCCTCATCCTGCCCTGCCAACCCAAGGCAGGAAGAAGCTCTGGAGTCTCCGCCTGGGGATCCAGTCCCTGAGCTCAGCACCACTTTCCTGCTTGGGCGTTGGCACTGGGGTTCAGACAGACCTAGCCAAGGCATAGGAAGTAAGGAACACCACTCACTGGTCCAGGGTCCTGTACCCAGGCAGCTGTGGCCTCTGCCACAACCAATGGGTCTCGCTCAGGGACCCTTACGGTCTGGCAGGCCAAAAACTCCCTGGGGAAATGAGATGCCCACTGATTAGGCCCAATCCCCAGTGAGCATGGAAGACCAAGGGACCTCAAGCAGGACAACTGAAATTGACTGTCTTCCCCAACCAGCTTTGCCCTTGACACCCTAAAATTCTTCCTACTGTTATCTCTGCGGTCCTCTCCAGGGATCTGAACCTCTTTTTTAGGACCACTAGGTCAGCAAGGTGTTGAGAGGAAATATGAAATGGGGGGGAACAACGTGGTACCAACCAGCTCAGGGCCCACTAGGAGTGAGAGAGCACTCACTCCTCCCACCCAAGGGGAGTGTAGCTTACAGGTCCTTGGGCAGGATTGAGCTGCTCACACCTGCACCCCCTGACCCTGTAGCTGCAGCACTCGACTCTGCAGGGCGTTGATCCCGCTCAGGAGGGCTTCCCGATGCTCAGCGGAAGAGATGCCCAGGTTCCCCAGGTCTCTGCAATGGGTGACAGTCACATCCAGAGACCCAATTCCTCTCCTCTCCTCCCATGGAAGTCAACCCTCTCCCTCCCCTTCTCTGGACAAGGAAGGGCCCACAACCAGGACAGGTGGGGGCCTTCCCATCTAGGGTAGGGGCTCTCTTGGGTTCCCTGAACCCTGGTCTTGACCTTGGCTCCTTAGACTCACTGGGCGGTCATCTCGGCCACAGCCTCCAGGCTCCCGTAGCCAGCTGCAGAGAAGCTGTCCTTGTAGCGGCACAGGTCCAGAGCCTCCAGCCAGGCACCCACAGAGCCAAAGGAGGGGAAGGTAGAGAAGGCACGGTCAGCCAAGGGGGTGGGAGGCCTGGGGAGCAGAGAAACCACTGTCAGTCGACAACCAGGGTGTGGCCTGAGAGGCAAGAAGGGACAAGGGGGAAAATAAGGTGACCACCCCAGGGATTAATGTGCCTCCTGTGGGCACACAAAAGGCCCTGAAGAAGTGGACCAGGGCACTCAGAAGTGGAGAGCTGAATAAATTAAAGGGCAAAATCCTGGGCATGACTGCCATGAGGTGACGTGTGCCTGAAGCAGGTGGGGACGTTGGATCATCTGGACAATGGGCGGAGCTTCACACCTGACAGGTGCCATGGGCAGCTGGTTGCACTTGGGACAAGCCAGTGTGGGTGACTGGCCTGGCTCGGGGGCTGGTGAGGATGTACCTGAGACAGGTGTTCGCAGCACACTTGGAGGGCTCCGGCTCCTGCCCCATCTTGTTCAGGATGCTGTGGATCTGGGAGAACCTGGGCCGCTCCCCCGGGTCTTTCTGCCAGCAGTCAAGCATCAGTCGGTGCAGTGGGGAGGGACAGTTCCTGGGGGGTGGCAGCCGGAATCCATCCTCCACAGCCTTGATCACCTGGGCTCCAGAGACGGGGAGCAGACAGGAAACTTCAGATTGCCCAGCATACACGCACCAGCACCACCACCACCATCACTATCACCATCCCAAGGAGGACTCTAGGCAGGATGGGAGTAGAGAGATCAGGAAGCTGGAGCCATAGGTCACTTACATCTTGTCCAGACATGTCCCAGTAGGGTCGCTCCCCAAAGGCCATCACCTCCCACATGACAATGCCAAAGCTCCACACATCACTAGCAGAACTGAAGTGACCAAACTGAAGCGTCTCGGGAGCTGCCCAGAGTGCTGGGCTCCGGCCACTCTAGAGGTGGATAAGCGAGGCAGGACAGGAAAGCACTGGGTCACCAGCAGGCCCCACCCAGTCCCACATGTCTTCCTCCACCCCCTTCACATCTGAGGAAGCAGTCCAGCTGACAAGGATGGTACCATCACAGGGGAGGGACTAGGTAGGGAAGGACCACCAGCAGCAGAGAAGGAAGCAGAGCAGAGGTATGGAGGCAGAGCAGCAGGTAGAACCAGAGAAGGGAGCTCCTTACCATGGTGGTATAGACAGCTTCGGCTCGGTCCCGGGGACCCCGCCCAAAGCCAGAGATCTTACAGATGAGGCCGCTGCTGACAAGTACTCGGCGGGCTGCCAGGCCCCGGTGCACATAGCCCATCTCGGACAGATACTTCATGGCCGATGCCAGCCCAGGCAGCAGACCCATCAACTGTGTGGCCATCAGCTCCCCTTCGTGATGCTGTGGAATGGGTGAGGACTGAGGCCAGGGCCGTACACTCTGATCACCCGGGAAGCCACTAAGTCCCTCTGGGATTCAGTGTACCACGAGCGGCAGGTCAGCCTGCCCAGTGGGAACAATGCCCAATCCCAAGCCCCAAGAGAAAAGGGAAGAGACGAGAAAAATATGACATCGGTGCCCCTCTCCCACCCAGGACTCCAGCCACTCACCCTGAGGAAGTCGTCAAGGGCCCCGAGGTTCATGTACTCAGTGACAATCATCAAGGGGTTTCCTGTGCCAGGAGCGGAGACACGCTACGTTGCTGCCTCTACCTATGTACACCCTTCCCCCACCAGCTCCACCTCAGCCAAGACAGCCAGACCCAGAGCCAAGTTTTCTAATCTTGCCACCGGCCAGCTAGCCCATAGATCCCACCCACTCAGCCCCTCCCATCCACTCAGCCCCACCCACCCAGCCCCACCCCCCACCTACCACCCACTCTGGTGCTGAGGTACAAAAAAGTCAGCTGTCCATAGTGGGACAGAGGCCTAAGTCAGAGCTGCAAGGGGTCAGCTGAGAAAGATGATTCAAGGGGAAAGTGACCCACTCCCCAGATGTCACTGCAAATTGGAAAGGTCATTCTGGGTCAGCATGGCCACTCCAAGAGAGGGGGTCACCCTGAGTCACAGGAAAGAAAGTGAACTAGTGAACTAAGGTTGTGCCTGAGCCCACCCAGTACCCAGTACAGGGATGTGCAGCGCCAGGCCTACCTCTTGTGACAACACCTTCCAGCCGGACAATGTGGCTGTGGTCAAACTGCCCCAGGGTGAGGGCCTCAGCCAGGAAACTGAGCCTCTGGGAGTCGGAGCAACCATCCCTCAGGGTGTGCACGGCCACAGGCAGTTCCTGGCGACCAGGCAGCTGCAGGCAGCCACAGCACAGGTCTCCAAATCGTCCTGTGAAGAAAGAGCAGCTAAGACTCCACGCCAGCAAATGGAGGAGGAGACTCTGGGTCTTGGGTCATTTCCAGCTTGACGTGGGAAGTCCCAGAGTTCAAATCCTAGCCTCCTGAGTACCAGCAATATCGCCTTGGGTTTCATCTCTTTCTTTCCTCTTGGCCTTAGCTTTCTTCTCTGTAACAGGGAGTAACTTTGCCCGTGACTACCCATCAAAGGTCCTTGAACCCAGCGAAGCCAAGGGCAGATGGCAATGAGATCTACTCTGCCCTACAGCTTCTTCCTGACTTCTGCTGGAAAGGTTCCAGGGCGAGGCCTGTTTCTTGGTGCAAAGGTGACTGAGGGTTATGAACCGCCAAAAGGAGATAGATGCTCAAAACCAGCAAGGCCCTACCCTCAGCCCGGCAGAGAGTTCCCAAGGCAGTCCTCAGGGTGGCGGATGCCACGCCCCTTATGGGCGTGGGAAACAGGCTCAGGAACAGAGGACGAGCCTCTAGTCGCTCAGCTCACCCATGGTCAGACGTTGCTTACTGTAAAGACCCCTCCCCCGTCCCAAAAAAGCCTGGGGCTAAACTGAGAGCCTCTCGGGAGGCTGTGTGGGAAAAATAGGCAGGTGTCCCACGGTGACCTAGGTAACAGAGGAGGAAGGACAGAGCCACAAACAACTCTGGTGGGTGTGGTGGACGGGGGTGAGGGGGGAGGTGGAGTGGGGGAGGGACGTCTTTCTGGGAAGGGGTATCCTCTTGCAGAGGCGGGACTTCCGGACATGAGTGGGAATTGGAGGGGGAAGCTGGCTGAAAGGAGGTGGGGGATAGCAGAGACGCAGGGCTTTCCCCCAGTGGGTGTTGCCTGGTGGGTGGGGTTTATCCAGTGGGCGGAGCTCCCTGGTGAATCCAGACTTCTAGGGTCCAGGGCTTGCCTGCTCCCAAGCTCTTCTCCAGGGTGACGCTTTTGGCATCTAGCTCCTTGGCGAACAGATGCACAGCCTGCAACGGGTCGCCACAGCTCTGGGGATCTAGAAACGTGCGGCGTGTCGGGACTTTGACTGAGAACAGAGAGAGAGAGAGAGAGCGCCTAAGGAAAGGTGTCTCATTGCTGGGGTAACAGGAGGTGACAGTTGGGACGGGGTCGAAGACGGGGCTCCGTGCGGCACAGACAACTCACAGTGGAAATACAGTTCCTCTTCGTCGTGGGCGTCCCCACTTCCTTTGCCATTGCAGGGCCTGTGGGGGCGCAGAGACATCCTTTCATCAGGCGACCCCCCAGCCCTACCACTTCACCAGGGCCCAGGGCAGCACCTCTTGGTCCTCTCAGAAAGAAAAGCTCTGTGCCCCTTCTGAGGAGGGACTTTCTTGTCCTGCTGGCTGAAAGGCTTCTTTTCATTCCAATTTTAATTTACTTTCTGATTTATTCATTTATTTATACAGTGTGTGTGTGTGTGTGTCACTCAGAGGACAAGTTACAAAGCTGGTTCTCCCTCCTCCTTGTGGCTTTTTGCCATCAGCCACAAGGCAATGCCCTTATTCACTAAGGGCCCCCCCACCCCCCGCCCTAGTCCCCACCACTTTGGTTTTTCAAGACAAGATTTCTCTGTGTAGTTTCTACTGTCCTCCTGGAACTTGCTCTGTAGACCAGGCTGGCCTAGAGATCCACTGCCCCTACCTTCCACGTGCTGAGATTAAAGCTGGACATGACCATGTCCAGCTCAGAACCCCCTTTTGTCTTTCATTTTTAAGAAGCATTGTAATCTTTTAAAAATTACATCTCTTTTATTCTCTCTCTCTCTCTCTCTCTTTGTGTGTGTGTGTGTGTGTGTGTGTGTGTGTGTGTGGTGTGACTCCTGTGGAGGTCAGAGGACAACCTGAGGGGATAGCTTCTCTCCTTCCATCCTGTGGGTCCCAGGGACAGAACTCAGTCAGCAGACTCCATGGCAAGCACTTCCACCCACTGAGCCACCTCTACTAAACGGTTCTCTTTTCTTCTCCTGTTTTCCCTCCCCATCTTCCTTCACTTTTGCCGCCTCAGTTGCTTCTCTGTGGTTTGAAGTCCAACATTCTTCTCCCTTCAGCACACAAAAGCCCGGATCTCTAGGCTTTCAATTCCATCACCGCTCCTGGTGTTTCTGCTGGGAGACAGACTCCAGAGGTGTGCAAGCCTGCACTCCTGGCATAAAGCCCCACTCTACCCTGTGAGGAATAACAGGCTGATCTGTCCTGAGCCAGAGGCAAAGCCCATAGCAGGCTGGATCTGCCATCCTGAGGCAGGGCAGAGTCCATGAAGACTCTGGCTTTTGTTCTGGGAGCAAAGGAGGGCGCTGGGGGACCTTGAGCAGGGAAGTGCCCTCATTCAATTCACATTTTATATGATTTTTTTTTCCAACTTGCATTTAAGAAAGAAGATGCTGGCTGCCACTCCCTGGTCCCCTCAGGAGATGGCAGTAGCTTGAGCTATAGGATGGCCCATCCTGGACAGAGAACTGTGGAGGAACAAGAATATGACAGGACCGTAAGACTTGAAGATTGCAGGGGGCTGGAGGAAGACTGAAGAGTTGCCCAGAGGGTTCATGGAGAGCCACTGCCAAGCAGAGCAAGGGAAAGTTCAGGCTCAGACATTTGAGCTCCTGCGAGGATGGGAAATATAGGGCAGGGTGGGTGGGGGGAATCTACCAGTAGGGAGTCTGATGGATGTTTCTGGAACTTGGAAAGTAGTAGATCTGCTCTGAAAATACAAACACAGGGACTGTGAATTCTGTCCAGGGGATGAGGGAGCCGGAATGGAAACACTGGACTGGGGGAAGAAAGCTGTCGAAGAGGGTGAGAAATAGAAGGGAAGAGGAGATGATGCCCCAGGAACCAAGGGAGGAGAAAGCAGGGATGGAGACGGGGTCTTCTGAAGACAGGGAGAGGGCTGGGGAACAGTTTGCAAAGAGAGGCATGTCACAGAGATAGTGGCATGAAGGGACTCTGACACGTGCCCTTTGCCATCTAACCGTGTGCTCGTGTGCTCTTGCGTCCAAGCATCCCCCACACCATGGCTGCGGGGCCCGGTGACTCGGTTTTTCTCTTCAATAAAATCGTGATGAAGATAGCCCTGCTTAACAACATTTGGGTAATAAAGAGCTTACTGTTATAATGTGGATTTTTAAATTTCTGTTCTTTTTTGTTGTTTTGAGACAGGGTTTCACTTTGTAGTCCTGGCAGCCTTGCATCTCACTAAGCAGACCAGGCTGTCCTCAAAGGTGTGTGCCATCACATCTGGCTTATAGTATGGATCTGGACCGTCTCTCAGGCTTAAGTGACAAATGACTTGGTCCACAGCCTGCGGTGATAAAAGGAAGAGATGAAACCATTGGGAGGTGTGGTCTTGAAGAAAGAAGTTGGGTCGCTGGCAGCACGCCTTTGGGAGAATATTGTCACCCCAGTCCCTGACTCACTGCTTCCTGGATGCCTGGGAAGTGAGCAGCTGCCTCTGTACAAGCTCCAACCATGATGACTTGCTACCCACAGGACCAAAGCCAAGTGGCTGCGGACTGAACTTTTGAAATTGTGAGCCCCCAAAAACTTCTTATAAGTTGATTATCTTGTATATTTTGTCGCAGCAACAGATGGATAACACAGAGTGTTACTGGGCCTCAGAGTGTCATGGTTTGAATGAGAATGGCCTCCATAGTCTCATACATTTGATTTGAATGCTTTGTCCCCAGTTGGTGGAACTGTTTGGGAAGGATTGAGGAGGCGTGGCCTTGTTAGAGTGGGTGTGGCCTCATTGGAGGAGGTGTGTCACGGGGGAGGGTGAGATTTCAAAAGTCATGCTATTCCCAGTTAGCTCCCTCTCCAGGCCTTGTGCTTGTGGGTGGGTCAGATGTAATCTCTCAGCCTCCGCCCCCTGGCACGCCTGCCTGCTGCCATGCTCCCCACCATGAGGTCATGGACCCTTTCTTTTAAGCAGCCTGGTCGGGCTATTTGAAAGAAAATGACCCCCACAGCCTCAGAGAGCAACACTATTAGGAGGTGTGGCCTTGCTGGAGGAGGTGTGACTTTGTTGGAGAAATTGTGTCACTAGCGGGGTGGGCTTTGAGGTCTCAGAAGCTCAAGCCTGCCTATAATGGCTCACAGTCACTTTCTGTTGCCTGCAGATCCAGATGCAGAACTCCCAGCTGCCTCTCCAGCACCATGTCTGCCTGCGTGTCACCGTGCTTCCCACCGTGACAATAATGAACTAAAACTCTGGATGGCAAGCCAGCCTCAATTAAACGTTTTCCTTTATTAAGAGTTGTTTGTGGCCATGGTGTCTCTTCACAGCACTAAACTCCTAAGACCCCTTGGTCATGGCATCTTGACACGGCGCTAGAAGAGTAACTAAGACACAGTGCTCTTGTGTGGGGGTAAGAGAGGGGCATTGTGAGCAGCAACGTGTGCCAGAAGCGGTAAGAGGCGATGGGGCTCCATTCCAAGTGGAAAGGCCCAAGCTGCCTAACAGGGAGGCTCCTTCTCTAGAGCAAAGAAATGAGCATGCTTGTGAAGCAGGTGGGTTTCCAGCCTTGATCAGGGGACACTGAGGGACCATTGCTGAGGCTGGAGAGCAGGGCTGCAGACATAGCTGACAGAATAAGGAACAAGAACAGGGCCTCGGGGCCGCAAGTAGAACTGCCTTATGCACCTGATGGTAGATAGAGCACTCCCAAAGGGGATGGCCGGAGGTCTATGAGAGGCAGAAGGCAGGGGCTTAGGAATGAAACCTTGAGAAACCAAGAAGCCAGGCTGGCCACCCAGTGGCTGCTGAAGTCACGAAAATGACTTATAGGACTCTTACACATGGCAGGGAACATCCAGAGCAGAGGAGTAGAGATGAGCAAAGGCTGAGTGGGGGGCAAGAGTGAGTGACAGGTGAACCAGAACTAAAAGCAAACTATGCAGCGGGAGATTTGTTTGCACTGACATTCTGAGACTGCCAGTAATATTAAACCTTGAATCAGAGGGCGGAGTCAACATTTGGCTGACCAGAATTAGTCATAGAGGTTTTGGAGACCTGAGATGGGGAGACACAGGGAGTAGTGGGGAAGGGCTTAGAAGGATGCGTGGTCTTTCCCATCTGGGAGTGTGGGAGTGCTGACCGTCCCGTCGTTGCTCTTTGGAGCTATCAGGTTTTTAGCCCAATATCTGATATCTGACTCCCAAGTTTTATTTAATAATAGAATAATGTAAGTACTCATTTCAACTATGAAATAAAGTCTATATGAAAATGTTATGATGAGGGCTGGGGAGATGGCTCAGTACTCTAGCACCAAAGGAGCTGATGTCCTCTTCTGGTCTACACACACACACACACACACACACACACAGAGAGACACAGAGGCCATCACTCTCACACATACACATAAATTTAAATAACCCTCTACAGAGAAAATCCTGTAATGAAATCCATGACTTAGTACGATAATTAGCTCCCTGGCTCCCCCATCGAAGGGCAGTTTGAAGTCTGCTGCTGTCTTCCCAGCCTGCTCCAGTGCACCTGTCTCTGTGCTTGCTGCCACAGCTCAGGTAGTTAGAGTCAGGATGAGAGGCTCCCTCCGGATGTGCATCCCTCAGGATGTGCCCATTCCTGCCTTTCCAACAGGCCCAGAGCATGGACCTAAAGTTAAGCTCCATGAGGAAGGAGCTCCCTACTCTTGTCCTGCCTCTTCTCCTTTTTTTTTTTTTTCTTTTGCGACAGGGTCTCTCTATTGTGCCCTGGCTAAGGCTGTCCTGGAACTCTCTGTGTAGACCCAGATTGACCTTAAACTCACAGAGCTCCACCTGCTTCTGCCTCTTGAGTGCTGGGATTAAAGGTGTGTGCCACTATGCCCAGACTGTCCTGTCTTCTTGATCCACCTTGCCCAGGCACAGATGGCTCCTAGATCCTCAGGACAGCCACCACCTCTCCTCCATCACTCACGACCAGTGCTTTGGTCAAGGCCACGCCAATAGTCAGTGCCAAAGAAACACTCGCCACCCCTCTGGCTCACAGGTGGCTCAGACTGTCGAGATGTGGCTCCCCAGTCAGCCCACTTTTCCTCTACACCCAATTCCAACCCACCGGGTCTGCCTACCGCAGCCCCAGACTGTGAATGCCAAGGGGCCTCTGGGCATCGCAGGATGGTCCTGGGAGGGTAGGAAATATGCAGAGCTGAAGCCTCTGCTCTGTCCAAAGGAAATGGAATTTTCTTTCAGCCGGACCCAACCGGGCTCGAGCCCTGTCATCCCCACCCTTTCTCTGCCTGCAAGCTTCTTTGTGGGGAAAGACACGGCTCAGACTGATGGGTTTCCCTTCCTGTCCCCCTCTCTCCCATCCACCTACTGACTTTCTCTCTTCGCTTGTGTTCAAGGGGCTCCAGATCCCTTGAGGGCCAGAGCTGGGCGTCTCGGAGTGCCTCGGGAGAATCCTAATCACACCGGAGCAGCTGGAGTGCGACTCTATCCTCAGAGCCGCCTTCTGACATTTAATGAGTTAAGGAGCTAAATCCCCTTCATCCCAGCATGGCTGAGCTAGCTGCAGTGCCTGCAGCTGGCGCGTGAGCAGCGGCGTGTGGGGGAGGGGCCGTACTGGCCAGGCTAGTATCTCTTTTGAAGGGAGAGAAAGTAAGACAAGGGTCTGGTGTAGTCCAGGCTGGCCTCAAATGCTATGTGGAGCTGAAGTATAGGGCTTGAACCCCTGACCCTCCTGCCTCCTCCTCCTAAGTGCTGGGGTTGGCGGCACTTAGGGTCCCAGGCAGCTGTTTGAGTCTTTGTGTGTGTGTGTGTGTGTGTGTGTGTGGCAGGTGCACTTACAGGTACTTGCGTGTACATATTTTATACCTGTGGGAACAGAACCTACCAGAGGTTACCAGGATGAAACCAACTACCTACCTCCTCCAGATAGCCAGCACACTCATCACAGAACCCAGGACCAGCAGGGCTGAGACAGTCACAACGGTGACCACGACAGCAGGACTCTGGTCTCTGGACCCCGAGGCAACTATGGAAAATAAAACAGAACAGGGGCCTGAGGCAGGCAGAGGATTAGGCTACCAGGCAAGCACCAGAGACTCTTGTCTCAGACACTCGGAAGATCCCTCAGCCCCTGGGCATACAGTAGCCCCAATGCCCATGGTGGCCATTGGAGTGAGGAACACCTCTGTTTGTTTGTAGGCAGGGACGCTCTACTACAGCCCAGCTCTGCGAGGGGGCAAGAGATCCATCCGCTGGGGCTGACCTTGGCCTATGCCTTTCAAGGGGGCAGAGACTTCAGAAGCTCTGTGGGGTCACACCCTCTGTTTGGAGTTCCTTTTCTAAAAGAGTACCCGCCAGCAGCAGTATGTTAACTTTGAGCACCCAAGTGTCTAAAACAGGCTGCGTGTGCCTGAACTGTATTGTCCTGTCTCACATAACAGACCTACCGGCAAGGGTTACTGTCTCCAGTTCTAGTTGAAGAAACCGGTTGAAGAAATCTACCTAAGGTGTCCAGAATCACACAGCTAGCTACAAGTGACAAACACGGGATTTTGTGGGGTTTTGTTTTGTCTTTGAAATGGAGTGTCATGTAGCCTTGGCTGGCCTCTGACTCGTGTAGCCAAAGATGACTTTGAACTCCTGACCCTTCTGCCTCCACCTCCCAAGTGCTGAGATTACAGTCATGTGCCACGGTACGTAGGTGGGCCCAAGACTGGAACCTGTCCCCGACAGCCTCTGCCTGATACCAAAGCAACTCTGAAACTGGACAGACATGCCCAGGACCCCCAGTCTGACTAAAGAAGTGCACAGGCTGAGAGACAAAACTAAGTATGTTGACAGACAATACTTAACTATAGAAAGAGAAAGAGAGAGAGAGAGAGAGAGAGAGAGCCTGGAAGATGGGTAGACTGTGGTTGCACCCCAGGCCCTGATGCACGGGTGGGGCCTGGAAGACGGTAGGCAGCCCACAAAACTGGAGGTTATACTGTCCAGAGGCAGAGGATGATGGGGTGGAAGCTGAGTCGGGGTGGGGGCGGGGGGACTTGGAGAGGCACAACTAGAGAATCTTGGATGCAGGCTGAGGAGAAAGAACCACCTTGAGGCTCATGAGGAGTTGGGGACAGATTCCTGCCTGGCTGGAGAGGAGGGGACAGGGACAGCCAGCGGCGGTGCGAGTGAGGATGGGTAGCAGGGGTTTGAGAAAGGAAAACTGTCAGGGAGGGGAAGTACCAGACGGATGAACGCTAACTGTCTGTATCAGCTTCAGGGTGAGGAAAGAGGAGGAGAATGGCTCACACCTGGGGACCATGGTGATGCGGCCAGCCATACAGGGTGTGCTGAGGTGGGCTTTGGCTCAGATGGTTTCGTCCACGCAACTGCCTTCCCTACTCACTTACTCACTTCCACTGGTGCAAAGAGACCCCACCCAGCCTTAAGACACAGTTCTAATCTCCTCTTGCCGGCCCCTGCCCCGAGGGGGCAAGGCGTGTGTTCTAGCCTCCCAGAACCTGCCTCCCTCCACTCCTCACCTCCCTTTGGGCTCCCAGCATTTCCTATCTTGGATTAGAGTTGTGTAGCAGGTTGGGAAGGAGTCTTATCTTGACAGCTGGTGCCAGAACGCCTCTTAGGGGGAGTTGACTTTGTGGAGTAGGGGCGACTGGAGTGGGGGGGGGGGAGAATACTTCCCTGAACTGCACTGGCTAGATAGTGGTGAGATCCTGAGGGCTGGGGCCGCAGAAGGCTGAGCAACCAGAGGCTGCTGGTACTCACAATGAAAAGGGAATGGACAGGGAAGAGAAGGAAGGACTGAGAAGGGGGAAGAGGTAAGCACAACACCAAGAAGCAGGGCAGGCGTTGGGGGACATAGTTCTAGATCAGGAATTCTAAAGTTCAGCTTTTCTTTTGTTGTGAGAACTTGGAGATGCAATTTTTACACCACTACTTCTCTCCCTCTTCCTTCCTTCCTTCCTTCCTTCCTTCCTTCCTTCCTTTCTTCCTTCCTTTCTTCCTTCTTGTTTCTTGAGCCAGGATTTCATAAACCCAGGCTGGCCTCAAACTCTTGGTTTCCTTCTCTTTCCTCCCGAGTGCTGGGATTAGAGGTCAGCACCACCAGCTCAGCTCTTTACTCTGCTCAGGCCGACCTTGAACTCTGTAGAGGCGCTTGGCCTTGAACACCTTTTGATCTTCCTATCCCAAACCTTTCCAGTGCCCGGATCACTGGCCTGTGCCACTGCGCCCAGTTTTTATTCGCTCCGTTTAAAATGTGCAGGGCTCACTTTGATTGCTCCCTTCCAGGTCCCCTTTCCTTCAGGGAAGTTGGCTTCACAGGCAAAGCCTGGGGGCGGGGAGGACGGGACAGTGCCCCAAGATGGATCTTTGTCACCGCAGAAAGAAGAGCAGCTAGAAGGGTCCAGCAAGGTCCAGAAAGGTGACCTCGAGAAGCCTAGGAAAGAGGCTGTGCCACTAAAGGTGTAGCCTCCAAGAAACTGTCCCCGAGGCCTCTGCAGTGTGCAGGGAAGATTCCCTGTGGGTGGCTGCAGGTGAATCTCAAATTGTTTAACTATGTAGATGCAGAGCATTGGCGGTTCTGTGGCCTGGCGTCCTTCCCTGCTTGCTGCCTGCATCCAGCGCCCTCCCGGTGGTGCACACCACTTACCTTCCCCTGGGGTCTGCACTTCGATGCTTGGGTTGAAGCTCTGGGCCTCCCATGAAGGCCCTGGGGAGGCCGCCCGGATCTGAAAAACGTATCTGGTAGCAGGTTTCAGGTTGGTGACAGTGACAGCCGGTGCCCCTGTCTTCACTGTGGAGTACGTCTGCTCGCTCTGACCCTGGAGAGGACAGAGCAGTGAGGCCCAGACCCAGGAGGCTGAGAGGAGGGGAACAGGGAGACAAAGAACTTCCCTTCAGTTGGGTGGGGGAAGGTGACCCAGATCATCTTGGGAGACAGAAGAGATTTCTCCCATAAGGTGCCCAGCACCTCTCTCAAGACTCATCCCATAATAGGCCAGAGCTTCCTTTGCAGGGGTGCCCAGGTGGTGACTACCAGGGCTTGGCAGTCCAGGGGTGAGGAAGGCCTGAACCCAAGCAAGCCACACACTGCCACCTGCCCTGTCCTTGACACTCAGGACGCTTTTTCCATATCTTTCTCCGCCCTATAAAGACTTGCTTAGCTAGAGTCCAGGGAGAATTCCAGCTGTGACTGGTGAGGACCTACGGGAGACCACCCACTATGCTGGGCCACACACCCAGTACAGCCTTTATTCAGCTCCCCAGAGTCAACATTTCTCTCTCCTTGTTAAGCAAGGGCCAGGGGGGGCACCTCTAAATCTTTCAGGTCTGCCCTTTGCTGTACCCCAGTGCACCTGACACCCAAAAGCCCTCAGAAGGCTCCTTGTGTCATTTGATTCTGCCCACACCTTAGTAGGGTTCCTGCCACACCCACGGACTGGAAAGTTAAATGCCTACCTATAGCCTGTGTTCCTCCTTTTCTTTGACAATGACATTAATGGCCACAGGGCAGACTTTGAGTCAACAAGAACTCCTCAGAATCTCCCCTGAACATCTGAATGGTCAAATAATCTTTGGTGTGGTGGTTCATTTACACATACGTGTGTGTGTGTGTGTGCATGCGCGCACATGCGTGCACATACTTGGAGGTCAAAGGTATATGCTAAGTGTCTTCTTCTATTGCCCTCCACTTATTTTTTTAGGCAGGGTTTCTAGCTGAACCTGGAGCTTGCCGCTTAGGCTAGACTGGCTGGTCCGCAAGCTCTGAGGATCATTCCATCACTACCTCCCCAGCGATAGGGTTCCAGATGTGTGGGAATGCAACCCACACTCTGCAAGTGTTTTACTCTCTGAGCCAGCTTCCGAGCCTCATCACAGTTGCTGTCAGCCTGACTGGGCATGGAGTCTCTGGGGGTGTCTGTGAAGATGTTTCCACAGACGTTCAACTGAGGAGGGAAGACCCACCCTGAATGCGTGTAGCCTCTCCGAAGGCGTGGAACCAGTTAAAAGGAAAAAGCGAACTGTGTATCAGCACTCATCTCTCTGCTTCCTGACTGCAGACTGGAGACAGATGCTTCCCATCCCCTGTGGTGCTCCCCCTCACCTGTGGTGCTCCCCCTGTGGTTCTTCTCCTCCTCAGCCAGCAGCTCCCCCTCCCCTGTGGTGCTCCTCCTCAGCCAGGAGCTCCCCCTCCCCTGTGGTTCTCCCCCTCAGCCAGCAGCTACCCCTCCTCTATGGTTCTTCCCCTCAGCCAGGAGCTCCCCATCATTTGGTCACCCAGGCCCACGCATTCAAAAGTGCCTCAGTGACCCCATTTTTTCCTGGGCACCCCAACTATCATAGCTTTCAACAGACTTCTAGTAAGCAAAAGCCATTATCTGATTCAGCAAAGCCCCGCATGCTGCCAAGGGAGTGGAATTCTGTCATACTCGGAAAGAAGTTTCTCTTTAATGAATTAATTTGCATAAGAGGGAGGCAGTGTTTCACCGAAGATCACATCTCAAAGTTAAAGACATCAGGTTGAAGGGGAAGAGCAAGGGCTGGGAGACAACACTACACATCACGTCATGACTGAGCTGTTATCACAGATTTAAATGCACACAAAAGGGAAAAAGGCAGGAGGTGCAGGCCTGTAATCCCAGCATTGGGAGGCAGAGGCAGGAGGCTGACTCAAGCTACGTGAGACCTGATCTCAAAATAAAAATAAATAAAAAAGCAAACAATAAATAAATAAATATAAAAGAGGGGATAGACATGGAGAAAAGAGGAGGGGCACTTGAGCCAGCCTGGGGTTGGGGAGAAAAGCCAAGACACTCGGCACAAGGTGTGGTAGCACACACCTTCAATCCCAGCACTCAGGAGACAGAAGGAGGAGGAGCCACAGAGTTGGAAGCCAGCCAAGGCAACGTGGTGAGACTGTTTCAAAAATAAACATCAAACAAAATCAGCAAAGTATCTTTTGAACATCAAAATCAGAAGGTGTGGCGCACACATGCAATTCCAGCTTAGGGACACAGAGGTTGGAGGGTCACGGTGTAAATTCAAGGCCAGCCTGGGCTACTAGTGAATCCCAGACCAACTAAGGCTCAGCAGAGAGAACCTGTCCCAAAACAAACAAAAAGGATCTTCTGCGGGACTGTTTGCTATATGGAAAGCTGGGGATGGTGGTCTAACCCTCGCACTCAAGAGTCTGAGGCAGCAGAACTGCTGTGAATTCAAGGTCAGTCAGGGCTACAGAGCAAGACCCTATCTCAAAAATAAAAATAGCTCTATGGAGTTCACAATGAGTATGCTTTATTTGTTTCATTGGTTTGGTGTCTTGAGATAGGGTCTTTCTAATGCATTCCTGACTGACCTGGAACTCACTCTGTAGACCAAGATCCACTTGTCTGTGCCACTGCTAGGATTAAAGGCCTGTGCCACTATGTCTAGCCGAGTAGGTGTATATTTTATTTATTTATTTATTTATTTTATTTTTTTGAGACAGGGTTTCACTGTAGTTTTAGAGCCTGTCCTGGAACTAGCTCTTGTAGACCAGGCTGGCCTCGAACTCACAGAGATCTGCCTGCCTCTGCCTCCCGAGTGCTGGGATTAAAGGCCTGCGCCACCACCTCTCAGCTTGAGTAGGTGCATATTTTAACATGCCGAAGTGTGTGTGAAGTGTGTGTGAATTTTGTAAGACCCTTTTATAGTAAGCCACAGGAGTGTAGGTCCCTGTTCTGGAACATACCCCTCTAGTCAGGCAAAGTGGTCACGTGGCTATCTCTGTGTGCCTTTCCTTTACAAAAGGCTCTTCATCTCCGCTAAGCCCTAAACCAAGATGGCAAAATGGAGCTGTCCATGGGTGAGCCAGGAGAGGAGAACGGAAGGGAGGGAGGAAGGAAGGACCTCCGGAGGTCGCAACTGTGTTTGGAATGACAGAGAACTAAGACCGAGGAAGGCAGGCAGGCCCGGATGCAGGGGGCTTCCCGCCTAGACTCACCTTCTCATAGTAGCGGATCTCATACTCGGTGCCGTTGGCTCCGGGAGCTCCAGCAGGGACAGGCTCCCGCCATGACAGGGACACGCTCTGAGGTTCCACGCGGTCCCTGCGGATCTCATCCTCCTCCCAGGGTGCTGAAGGTAAGCAGAGTGGGACGCTCCTCCTGGACCCACTGCCCACAAGATCTGGGTGAAGGCAGGAGGGGCGGGGCATGCACTTGGGCGCAATGTTAGATGGGGGCGTGGCCTGTGGGTGGAGATGCGGACTGTTGAGCCGGCCTGAGGGGCCGCGGCCTGTGGGACCAGAGGTTGGAGGAGAGAATCTCTGGCCAAGGCTTCTCTCTTCTTCATTGTCTAGTGGGAGGGAAAACCCTGCTTGCCTCCCCTCCACCCAGTTTCCCTCATCCGGCTTGGTTCTAATCCGTCAGTCTTTCTGTGGTTTGAAGACATAATAGCATGTGAAGCCGAGATTGGCTTGTTCACGGTGGGACGGCCGCAGGCAAGTGAGTATTAGAAGGAAATCACCCCAACATGATTAAGAGAGAAACGCGTGAAGCTCCCAGAGAATATTACACTCAAGAGTGAAAGACTGGAAACTCTCTGTCTGGAGAAAGACCAGGAACCCCACCTGCTCCATTTCTAGCCAATATCGTGTTTAAGGCTCTAGCTAGAGCAACCAGGCAAGAAAAAAAAAAAAGTACAAGATGCCCATACTGGGACGATACAAAGGTATCTTTGCACCTAGGGTGACAAGATGGAAAACCCTAACATGGTTTTACATGGTTAACCTTTCCATGGTTAACATGGAAAACCCTATGAAGAGTTCACAAAGAACTCTCAGAGAACCAGCCTCACAACACGAAGGCTTGTATATGAAGGGATGAGACTCAAGAAACACAGTCAGGGGCTTGGTCAAATTCACCAGTCAGAGCGACCCACGATCAGCAATGTCCGGTGCTGGCAAGAGGTCCGGGAAATGGTGCAAAAGTTGAATGGTTCCGGCCACTAGGGAGTTGGGGATAACAGATATCAGATAGCAAAGGGGAGAGGTGGGGACAGCGCACACGCGTCCTGCCCTTTGAGCTTCCGGTCTCCTGCGGTCCATGTGTGTCCAGCTGGCCTTCTCTGCTCTTAAATTCCAGAGTGACTGTGGATTCAGAAGGAGCTGAAAACCCACAGTTGACATCTGATTGCTAGAATAGGGGACAGGGAAGGGGTGTTATATTTTTAACCTCTGTAAAGTCAGTGGGACTGAATGGACCCGAATGGCTGTAGTGAACCCCAGGCTACACGACCCACAGTGCAGTACTGCCCCTATTCTAAAAATAACTTGAAAAATCCTTTAGTCTCTCTCCAGTGCCTGACCCTTTGAAAAAAAGCCATGTCTTTGTGAGCCGGACAATAGCAGCCCGCCACTCCAGTGCACAGCTGCTTCTAAGGCGAGTACTCTCCCCTGCCCCCAGCAGCACCTCGGGCTGAATTCACTTGGACCTGGCATGAAAGTGAAAGAAGTGAGGAAGCTTCCTAGGAGGTGGAAAAGCCCTTTGTAGACACAGAGGGGGGCAGAGACGGGGAGGCGAGAGATGTCGTGTTTGAACTTTGTTAGTCGAGAGCATCAGATGGCCAGGGGATCCACAGTGGGACGTGGTCCCATTTTGGCCCCTCAGAGATATAGTAGATGAAAGGTTGACAGACCCTGACAATGAAGGGCCGGTAAGATGACTCAGTGGGTAGAGCACTTGCCTTACAAGCGTGTGAATCTGAGTTCAAATCCCCAGAAACCATGTAGAGCTTTGGTACTAAAAGCCTTTGGGACAGTTAGCCTGGTTTACAGAGATAGCCTTTCTCAAAAATGAGGCTGGATTAGAGGGTAACCTTTAACCTCCACATGTCTTATACATACACACATACACACACCTCAGTCACAAATACACACACTCAAAAAGAATTCTAAAAATCAAACTAAAACCTCAGCTTGACCAAAGTCCATCAGGCTGAGGAGAAGAGCTTCGAGGGAACCCTGTCAGCAACCTGTTGCCTTGCCCTGTTGATTTTGACTGGGAAAGTACTCAGGTCAGTCATGACCTTTACTGTCTATTGGTTTAGGGTTGAGTTTGCTTTTGTTCTAGCCCATAAAAGATGTTAGCCAAGAGAAGAGGTTCTAAGAGAGGTTTCTTGCCTTTAAAAAGATACCTATGGCTGAGTGTGGTGGCACACACCTTTAATCCCAGACAGGTGTGTCTCTGAGTTTGAGGTCACCCTGGTCTAGAGAGCAAGTTCCAGGACAGCCAGGACTACACAGAAAAACCTAGTCTTGAAAAACAAAAACAAAAAAGTATCAGAGTCACGGTAACTGACCTGTAATCACACCTATAATCTCCCAGCACCTGAAACAGGAGGATTGCTATGAATTTAAGACAAGCCTGGGCTGGACTGGAGCCATTAAGAGCACTGGTTGCTCTTCCAGAGAGCCTGGCTTCCATTCCCAGCAGCCACATGGCAGTTTACAGCTGTCTCTAACTCCAGTTCCAGAAGATCTGTCGCCCTCTTCTGGCCTCTGCTGTTACCAGGCATGAACATGGTACACAGATAAGCACACATGCAAAACACCCTAAACATGAAATAATAGAAAAAGACCCTGCAACACACACACACACACACACACACACACACACACAGTGTTTTATAGAAATAGTCACAAGTAGAAAAATTATGACAATACATGCTTTTTTTGACTTTTTGAGACAAAGTTTGTTTATGTAGCCCTGGCTGTCCTGGAACTTGCTGTGTAACCCAGGCTGGACTCAAACTCACAGAGATCTGCTGGCTTCTGCCTCTCATGCTAGGATTAGATGCATGTACTACCATGCCTAATTATGTCTCATTCTTCTTTAAAAAAAATTTATTTATTATGTATACAATATTCTATCTGCGTGTATGTCTGCAGGCCAGAAGAGGGCACCAGACCTTATTACAGATGGCTGTGAGCCACCATGTGGTTGCTGGGAATTGAAGTCAGGACCTTTGGAAGAGCAGGCAATGCTCTTAAACGCTGAACCATCTCTCCAGTCCCATCATGCCTCATTCTTTGAGACAAAGTCTGTCATGTAGCCCAGGCTGAGCTCAGATTCAGTACACAGTTGAGGATGACCTTGAACTCCTGGTCCTCTTGCCTCTGTTTCCCAAGTGCTGGGATTGCAGGAATGCCTGCTTTTTTTTCTTTCTTCCTTCCTTCTTCCTTTCCCTCTCTCCTCTCCCTCCCTCCTTCTTTCCTTCTTTGGTACTGGTGATCAAACCCAGTGCCTCAGGCACGCTAGGCAAATATATCATGGAGCTACTCTTCCAGGCCATGAATTGTGAAGGCAATAGCAAGGGTTAAATCTCAACAGAGATAATAAAGAACAGAAGTGTCCCAGAAAAGCAGGTAGATTGGAAAATCTCTCTCAAAAGTCCTAGGAAAGGGATTAAGAGCTAAAAATGATAAAGGAAGTGACAAGATGTGAGAATCAGAAAATGGATGTTCAACCTAAGGCTTAGAGATCGGTTTAAGAGATACAGTGCTCTGCTCAAAGCAGCAGCGAGGAGAACTTTTCCAGGAATGAAGAAAGAACCAAAGGGCCTACTGTGCTCCCGCAGACTGAATGGGAAGAAATTCATATTGGTGACATTTTCATTTTCATCAGCAGGCTAAGAAATTATTCAAACACCCCTGTGCGTACACATCTATTCCCCCAAGGAACTTACAAAAGAACAAAAATCATCCCGAGCCTTGCTAGAAACCCAAGTGATAGGGTAGGGTCACAGAAAACAGGGAAGAAGGGTCACACAGCAATCAGACAGGAAAGACTCGGACGCCACCGCGCGTGCTTATCCATCTCGCAAAGGGCACTCGAGGGATTACTTGAAAGTGTGCACCAGAGGAGAAACAAATCAGAAGTAAATGTCAAGGATGCGGAGGGTGTGGTAGCAAAGGTGGTTTTCAACTCAGTCGAGTCTCAGAAATGGGTAAGGCGACTACTCTGTCGCCTTCTGACCTGGTCTGCGTCCTGCTCCTT